AAAGATGCTTTCGAACGCCAAACTTAACACTTAGTTTCATACTTATTCATCGACTGCGGGACTGCGGACCGCGGCAGCACTTCAAATCAACACTTCGTTTATTGATTATTCATCGACTGCGAGACCGCGGACCGCGGTAGCACTTCAGTTTAACACTTAGTTTCATACTTATTCATCGACTGCGAGACTGCGGACCNCTTTCGAACGCCAAACTTAACACTTAGTTTCATACTTATTCATCGACTGCGGGACTGCGGACCGCGGCAGCACTTCAAATCAACACTTCGTTTATTGATTATTCATCGACTGCGAGACCGCGGACCGCGGTAGCACTTCAGTTTAACACTTAGTTTCATACTTATTCATCGACTGCGAGACTGCGGACCGTGGTAGCACTTCAAATCAACACTTCGTTTATTGATTATTCATTGACTGCGGGACTGTGGACTGCGGTAGCAGTTCAAATCAACACTTCGTTTATTGATTATTCATCGACTGCAGGACTGCGGACCGCAGTAGCACTTCAGTTCAACACTTCGTTTCATACTTATTCATCGACTGTGGGACTGTGGACCGCGGTAGCACTTCAGTTTAACACTTAGTTTCATATTTATTCATCGACTGCGAGACTGCAGACCGTGGTAGCACTTCAAATCAACACTTCGTTTCATACTTATTCATCGACTGTGGGATTGCGGACCACGGTAGCACTTCAGTTTAACATTTAGTTTCATACTTATTCATCGACTGCGAGACTGCGGACCGCGGTAGCACTTCAAATCAACACTTCGTTTATTGATTATTCATCGACTGCGGGACTGCGGACCACGGTAGCAGTTCAAATCAACACTTCGTTTATTGATTATTCATCGACTGCGGGACTGCGGACCGCGGTAGCGCTTCAGTTCAACACTTAGTTTCATACTTATTCATCGACTGCGAGACTGCGAACCGCGGTAGCACTTCAAATCAACACTTCGTTTCATACTTATTCATCGACTGCAGGACTGCGGACTGCGGTAGCACTTCAAATCAACACTTAGTTTCATACTTATTCATCGACTGCGGGACTGCGGACCACGGTAGCACTTCAGTTTAACAATTAGTAAATACATATTGACTTGCTAGCCGACTGTGGACCGCGTACCACGGGAGCAGTAGATTTAAGGAGGGCGTGAGTGGCCAGGTATTCTGAAGTTGCTAAAAGGGTAGGAAAAATCGCAGATTTTGGTCATAAACAGGGTAAAGGTTTTGGGATGCGGAGCCGCACAACCCCATACAATTTTTCTGGGAGTACCCACCCCGGAAATGGGCTTGTCTGTCAACCAGGGGATTATGACAGAAAAGATTTCCTTACCCTGAGGAAGATAAAAAAGACTGCATCACCCCTTTTACATTCCTTTTCATTGGTCAGAGGTCAGGGTCGACCCTATGGACAAGTTTGTCATCTAGAATCCTAGGAGAGTAGTACAGGATCTCCCCCATCGCCGCCATGTTGAACGCTGCAGCCATCCTGGCAAAGGGCCTGGGACCAGGGCTTTGTTCTCTCCCCATGCCCTTGCTCGCCAACAAAATCAAAATGGCGACGGAGTCGGCGGCCGAAACTTGTGCAAGAATCGTCTTCCGCAATCGTCCAGGGGTGGATAAAGTACCGACGGAATCCAACTTTGCTCTAGAAAGAATAGAAATTCCGCAATGCAAAGAAGGAGAGATCTTAGTTAAAACGTTGTATTTGTCAGTAGATCCGTACATGAGATGTCGAATGAACGAGGACACTGGAGCAGCTTACCTTACTTCATGGACTATCGGCGAGCCGCCAGCTGG